TCCCTCCGAATCATCCCTTATTGGCTACTTCCTACAACAACATCGCCAGGGTGTATGATAACATGGGCGAGTACTCGAAAGCACTTTCATCGTACGAAAGATCACTTGAAATCCAAAAAATAGCTCTCCCTCCGAATCATCTCGAGATGGCTATTTCCTACGACAACATTGCTTCAGTGTATTTTCACATGGGCGAGTACTTGAAAGCACTTTCATCGTTAGAAAGATCACTGGAGATTTTGAGAAAGTCGGTGCCTTCTACTGATCCTCGTTTGGCACGTGTGAAAAGAAACATTGAAAATTTAAGAAACAGATTTTAGTAGTTTTATCTTTTATTGTGCAAAAATAAAATTGTTGAAATGTTAGTTTTGATGAGGAGCTTCATCGTTTTCTTTTTTGAAATGGAGAAGTTGAATCGAAGTTGCGGTATTTGTAAGAGCGATGCTGTAAATTTCAGTTGTATTTAGCAACTCGGAAGTTGCTATTGCGATGGGGCGCGTGCGAGTATGTGTATGGATATGGCTGTTGGTGCGAGGTGGGATATCAGTGCATCTGTGGTAGTCAGCTTAGCAACACTGGGAGGAAGATACACAGTACCCATTGGATCCGCATGCACATCGCAGCAACACATCTGCACCTGGAGTTACATTCACATGCCTATCCTTATCTTACGAATTTTTCAATTGAAGAGACTTCTTTTCGTTTACTTATGTTAAATCAATATCTTTCAGATTCTGCAAACGATTTCCGAAAAAATATTAAAATAGATGATTCCTCTATGATTGTATAAATATTTTATGGAACTACATTTGATAATCTAACGGAATCTGAGTTATTTAAAGCATACCAAAAGATTTCATGTTAAATCTGCCACCTCTTAGTCTTCATTTTAAATATGACAGAAAGACAGAGTTTGAAGTTCTACATCTTTTGGTAAATTCAGTTTTCTTTTTTCTTGGACAGAAAAAAAATTTTTTCGAAGATTACTTTATTTTGAGGTCTATAGGTTTCTTTTGTAAGTATTCAGTGTTTTGGATGATAATCGTAATGTCTATAGTTTTTGTTGTGTTTTAATGTGGGTGTCAAGATTAATAACAGAGATCGACGCAGTTTTTCACTTTCTACAAAATGATGCTAGGACAAATTGTCGCACGCACAATTCGTTGAAAGACAGTCCGTTACAATAACATAAATCAATCAAAATTAGTAATTATCTATTTTTCAATAATCAGGCAACTTATTCATTTAAGTTTGACAAATGTAATTTGATGAACATAGATATTATTAGAAATATAACTGATAACTAAACTTCGATTTTTGATTGGGTACAGTATAAGAGCCTTCTTCTATCGATAAGAAGTTAGTTTATTCGAGCTATACAAGTGATGAGAGCTTTCGTATAGTAGTGGAAGTAGAAGTGCACATTTTTTAAAATTTATGCTGCAGTTCAAGATTTCTGACAATGAGAAAATACCCTGGAAAGACTAACAAAATTTAGCGTTCAATAAAGAAGAGCAGCATTGAAGTCATCAAAAACTTTTAACGAATTTCTATTTTCAAATCTTCGGGTTTGACGTACAAATTCTATTATTTTAGGGACCATCGCATGTTATTATATAAATATAAACAATAGTTAGCAAAAAAAATGTGGAACAGTCTTACTATATAAACATGTAATACTTGTTGAACTCTATCGAGTCTTTGTTTTACAATTATTGCAGGTCTATACTAAGCAGATTAGCCACAAAGAATATCTATATATATGATTCGATTCTAATTTATTTTAGTACGATACTAATCTGAGATAACAATGGCACATAGTCTCGAAGCGAATGATACGTCTACATTATATTATTAGAACATGAGAACTTGGTTTGTTAGAAAATTCCATCGATCAATAAAGATACTGTTATATAGAATTAGTTCCTGATTTGAAAGGCTTAGATCCTAAAGGCTTCTAAAATACTGAGCATTAAATAATCGGAAAGGAATTATTCATCTCGAATAATACCTAAAACCAGATCCATGCTTTTGACGAAATAATTAAGTGATACTTAAAGAATCGCTCGATTACTGGTGTGAGAGATTTAGTTTTATTATTTTCAATAGCATAATTTCATGCTAATTGCATTGTTTCAATTATTAATGTTGAAAAAGTTGTAATCCATTTTATTGATACCCTAAAACTGAGATATCTTGCAGTTCTAGAATTAAAAGGAAGAGGAATAAAATCCCGAATCAGATGTTCTAAAACTGTCAACTGGTATTCTTTTAACAGAGAAATATTTTTCTTCAAAGAAGTTGAACTAGTTCCTGATACAAGCTAAACATTTGTTCCAAGCTTTTTTGCAAATCATTGTATATATATATATATAAAACTAGTCGAATTGAGTTATTGATTCATACAATGTGAAGAAGAATTCAGATAATACATTGTAATCGAAAGTATTTGACATCATATTAATATTAATTATGGAGGAGACAAATTCGACTTTTTTTCTTGCTAGGATTCTTTGTAGTCGACATGCCGAAATCAAAAAATAAAAGTGTAGTCATTAGTTGTATTTCTCATAATTCTCATGGGCATTGAATTACATAAGTCAAACTTAAACGAATGAGTTGTCTGACCGTTGAAATATAGATATTAATTTTGATTGGCTCATGTAATTGCAAAGAATTGTTCGTGCCACGAATGGTCCTGTGACGAATTGGGTGTGAGTGTGGATATAGATGGCAAACG